TGTAACATTTAATATGAAAGTTAATTAAGGTTAGGTAAAGAACATGTGGCACATGATTAGTTGTATAGTAAGCATACACTATAGTTATGGTGGTGAGCAAAAATACTCCCCACGACATATTTACATTGAGATAAAAAGAAATATCTAGTGGAAATATAGACACTTTGTTATAAATAGATAAAAGTGAGAAAGAGAGATAAAATTTGCTTGAGATAAAAGTAGAACGAGTGCAATGTATCACACTGTTTATTTTCGCAAGTGTATCACACAATGCAAGTAAAGAGAGGGAAGAGGTATATGTATTATTGCTTTCACTCTTGATCTTATGTGTTGTTTGATCATACAGTGCATACTCTCTATATAGTCATTTACGTGCAAAAGTCTACAAGGAAAATTAATGCATGTTAAAAATCATATCATCCAACAATAACAAAATTTGACAATACCATTATTTTTACTCCATACTTTTTCCCTTTTGATTCAATCATGTGGAATTCAATTCCCATAAATTTTACAACACACTTCGATTTTCAAGAAAATACTACAACGTCCCTTCAAAGTGCTGTTTTTTCAACAAAGTCACTTCCCGTGACTATCATATCATCCACATACCCACAACCATGGTACTCACCTCGTCACCCTTTCGCTTCAAAACATGTGGTCAAATTAGCGTAATGGGCAATCCATAAATCTGCTAGAGATATGAGAACCCAAATTTATATTAATATTTTCCATCGAGCAAATGTGTTCATTTTTGCTACTGGAGCAAGTCTTTGGGACTATCATCAGCAAATATATCAGATATGTAGGGATTTCAAAGATATCACAAAAAAGGATCTGATTTTCACCCATTTTTTAAGCCTCCCACATGCTCTTCTTTATTTCTAACCATCAGATTGAATAAATCAAATAAAGAAAACGAACATGATTGAACAAGAGTATGTAAGAGAAAGAAAAAAATGAGTGTTTATCATTTCCCAACAGAATTTCATTTTGTTTGTAAAAGTTTTCTTTTTTGCAATGTAAGTGCGGCTGTCTCCCTACATTTTACATTTCTCGGAGAAAATTGGTGTCGAACGCCAAAAACGCTATCTTGTAATGGAATTGTGCACTAAGCTGAGAGCTCGACATTAAAACACATGAATAAATTAACCTTGAGAGCTCGACATGATGAATGACATGATAATCTGCACAGAAAGAACTCAAGATCTTCTCCTCGCTACTGCACCTTAATCACGAGAAGTGTATGGGGAGTTTAGGGTTTATATTATTGCAGGATGAGCAAGGAACTCAATGCGGACTATACTAGAAACCCTAATAGCCTATGAATGTACTATCAAAGTCTGCGAGGCTTTCTTAGCTCACAAGAAATCCCTTAATTGCACTAAGTTAAATTTGGGAATATCACTTAACTTGGTCCACAAGGAATAGTATAATTAAGACTCTAACCTAACTTGTTTCCTAAGTTAACTGTGAAACCAATTCTGGATAGGGAATTAGGGTTTAGTCTAACAAGATTTAGTTCTCATAAGTGCTATATTTATGCTGGTTGGATATGGATCCCTTGTAGTTGAGGAATTGTAATCCTATATTTCTGATGAATTATAATTGTGTAGTTGTGGTGTTTCTTTCGGCATGTATGACCTTTTGTTCCACAGGGATTTCCCATGTGGTTTTTTCCAATAAAAATATGCTAAAATCATGTTTGACATGCAGATCTTACGTAACTTCTAGAACGTTCTTAATGAAGTTTTATTTGACCTAAAAAAATTTTACTTCTTGGTTGCTATTTACATTTCTAATATGGACGACAACGAGATTCCAAATTCAATTCCTCCCTCCTAATGTTTGTAAAATGTTGCTAATAATAAATAATCACAAGTAAATTTTCATTTGGCAAATTGGCTGAAATAATAAATGTACAAGTTTCAATTGTTATCCCTTTGTAGTATTTGATGGATATACACCCAACACTCATCGTCAGTATGTAATTTTGATCGGTTCAACAATTACAATTTATAAATTCATATTTCAGCATATTTCTTTATGTAGTTTACAAGTTTTATAACATTTCAAATTTTCATGTTGCAGTGGTAGAGCATTTTATCCTCTACACCCCTAGCATGAATTCAACCCCAAACAATCACTCCTTTTGAAAAGCAGAAAAAGGAAGAAAATCTCCAAATCATATAAATATAGAAATATGCTTTAAAAATAATAAAAAACAATCAAGCTAAGAGAAACCAGATACCGTTTTGAGAGAGAGATCCAGAATTCTCACTATTTTTTTAGATTTATAAACCAAATTCAAGTTAATGAAACCTTTAACAGGAATTTTCACAAAACTATCAACTAATCAGAACGGTTTTTTATTAGGTTATGGTACTTGATTCGCCATAAAAGAAGAGGATTATATTATAACAATCCCTTTAGTTACTTCGTTCTCTATTTCTATGTGAGAGAATTCTTAAGAAAATCATTTTGTTTTCTACCAAGCTAAAACAATTTGTCGAATAAAAGAATTGTCTTCCAAATTTCAACAGAAACCCAACAACATGGGTTAAAGTCTAAAATTCTAAGAAAACAGATTGTATACAATTCTGGATGCTAAGATCATCATTCAAACAAAAACAATTAAAATATTTAATTGGCTATTCTCTTTCAACACCAAAGTTTAAATCCCTCCCCGTCGTTTAGATAATTTTAATGAAAAATATGTTAAGGTTTGTAAAAAAAAATCGAATTGAAAATAAAATTTGCCACAAATATTGTAATATTTCATTGGGAAAAATCAGATTAATACTTCATTATTTCCTTTCTTTCTTATCACAAAACAATGAAAAATATGTTATGATTTGTAAAAAGAAAAAAATCGAATCGAAAATTTGCCACAAATATTGTAATATTTCATTGGGAATAATCAGATTAATATTTCATTCTTTCCTTTCTTTCTTATCACAAAACAGAATACAACATAAACTCATTGGTGGTGTTGGTCTCCATATAAGCTGCCGCCGCCGCCTTGACGCCGCAACTGGTCATGATGACGTCATCGGCTGATCTGCCATTGGTGGTGGGCTTCTTCTGGGGGGGAAGATGATGGTGTTCTTGATCGGAGGTAGAGGAGCTGCAGGGAGGATGGTAATACAACCGTCCGGTTTGTGGGCAATGAGAGTGAAACCTTGCTGCTATTCTCACCCCCGTATCCAATAATTCCACCCACTTCGCCGCCATCTTTCTGGATTTTTATGTCTCTCTGCCGATCTTTTTCTTGCTCTCTTCGTAGAGAGAGAAAGAGAGAAATCTAGAGAGAGAGAACCCAATACAAAGAAGGGGGAGACCTTGGTCCTTTTAATAGCCTTTCCTATGGTATTTGTGTCTTTCCATTTGTACGGTTTTTATACAAAGGTCCCAAAGTTTCTATCAATTGTTGTGGTGCCCTTTTATTTTCATTAATTTCTTCTTATGTGAAAGGCTTCAACGAATCAATTTACTCAATTTTTAGGGCAAGTGGTGGTGTGGATATATTAAAAGAGCTTACGAAAGAAACAAATTTAACTAAAAAAACATGGTAGATTCTATTATTTTGGTGTGGGTTAGCACGATTTCAACAACCAACTGTGGGGGTACAGAATCAAATTCTACGATTTATTAAAAAGAATAATTTTTTAGTTTATAAGGTAGTAGCGTATTTGGACAATTAAACTTAAAACGTCAGAACTTGTGATTTGCCACTTACTTATGTGGAGTGTGAAATTTTTTATTAACTTAAAGATTTAAGGTACGTTTAATTTGATATCAAGTGAGATGAACATGAATTCAGACTTGCATGCTTCACATATAAATTTATAAATTAAAAAATTGCACGATTTTTTTTATGGGGATGTGTCAACGTGTCACGTGATGACCATAATGAAATAGAATTCCACCATATTGATGAAAAGTTCAAATATAGCAGAGTTGAATGACTGAAATGAAAATATGCCAGAATAAATAACCCTTACAACTTTTTCTAGGCCAAGATTTGACTCATTCATTTTGTTAATTCATTTTTGGTCCAAGGAATGCTGCGTCATGTTCTGCAGCGCTACGCGTTGAATATTCGCATTTAGTCGAAGACTCGGTGCTGAAACGCAAGAACATACGCCGCTTATCTGGTATTGAACGCTTTATGGCATGAAAATACCGAAAAGTCCCTTCTTATAAGCCCTTTGTTGGATTTCCTTGAGGGTTCTTCAGATAACTATCCATTCTTTTTTTTTTTTTTTTTTTTTGTGGAACAATCGATATTATCTACCCTAAGAAAAGGGGCAAGACTTAATCTCATAATGAGCTAGCAATAATGTGGTTCAAATTCGTTTTTGAAAAGAATCGAACTTAATACCTCTTATTTATCAGTGGAGATGAAAATTATTCATTTTTATCCTTTGATACGTGAACTATGATACATTTCAAGAACAATCACCAGCCATCCATCGATCATGTCATACGGAATATATAATTATAGCATTTTAATTAAAATATTACCTTGTCGGTTTCTTTAAAGAAAAATGGATTGGTACGTATTAGTGAATAAAAATGTATAAAGGTTGCTTAAACTGTCCAAATTTGAAACTATCACGGGATGGTCTAGTAGTTAGTGTAAATTCTAAACTCGTAGCACGACTGATCATGAGTTCAATTCTTGACGCTAATAAATTATACAATGATAATTGGAAGATAGCTGAAATGTCTCTATGAGTCTTTTCAACTTCTGTAAAAGTAGATTGTCGTAACTTCGCCACTAACTAGTTTCTTTTTAAAAAACAAAACACCGCCCTAATTTGGTGCTTTATTCTTTGCTTATGCATTAGGTTTCTGGTTATTCATTTCAAAGCCAAAGTTCAGGTTCGTCATTCCATTCACACCGGATTAAATGCCAAACCAATACTTACCTCACGTTAGTATAAAGAACGTTCCATTATATTAACTAATTAACCTTTACAATTTTATATTTTATTTTCTGGTGTCACTATATACACACCTAGAATATATATTATATTCGCAGCTTTAGCTATCCATCATATACCAAAATTTTCCCAACCCAATCAAGGGAGCGGATCCGGATCGGATAGCTAAAACCCCATTATTTCTGACCCGACCCGTACATGCTCAACCGGGTCTCCTTAGCTACCTACCAAGCTAGCTACCTTCTCATGCTACCTGCAAATAAAAACAATAAATCATAATTAATATGAAAATGAAATTTAAGTGAATTTAAGCAGCTATTAGAATCTTGAATTATGATCGTACTAATATTATAAGGAAAACTAATGAAAATGGCTTGAAAACTTTGAGTTTTAATGATAAGGACAAAATAAAGGGTAAAGTGAATAGTACCAGGATTGACTTTTTAGTGTAAAAATGTGGTTTTTCGTTAAAGTGAACAGTACCAGGTGCTTTTCGTTAAAGTTCCCAATATTATATTTGTTAACTGTTGAAATTTTTTTTTTTTTTGTTAAAGTGAAAATATTTTTGTTCGTCACCATATAAATTATCGGTAAATAAATAAATTAACAAATTTTAAAATTTAAATTCATTTGGCAACACTTGAATAACAAACTTATAAATATATATACCGAGTAAACATAAGGATTGTGACGGGCCTCCAGAGCCTGCTCTTTTGACCTTCTCTAGCTTCAACAACCTGCAGCAACAGAAAGACACCATCTGTATTGGTCAACAATATTTTTCACCACGAGCAGCCAATTACATATTGCCACGTAATGTTGTGTTATAGGTTCATACTAACAAATAACAAACCACTATAGTTGGATGCATTTCAACCGTCGGATCCTCTTCCCCCGTCTTTCCACTGTTTAGAACCGACGGTCGAAAAGCTCCAACCATTCGTGCGTATCACACGCAAGGTTCCACGTGTCATAAACATGAAGAGAGAGAAGGGGAATGCTAACATTCTGAGCGCTTTGCTGGTGTCAGGACTGTCACCGATGGTCTGACGGATCTTGACTTCAGACAGCCAGCCGGCGCCGGACAAGAGCTTCAGAATGGCGTCGGCTTTCCGGCGCATGTGAGACGACCAAGTCAGCCGCCTTCGTTTCATCGGATCCTCCCGGACCACCGCAAGCTTGATACTGCTCCATCCTGATCTCGACACGTGGTGCTGGCTTCGGCTTCGCGCGCTGGAAGCCGCGCTGGAGGTGGTGGACACGCACGAAGACTCTGTGGTCTCAGATCCGAACGACGCCGTCGCTTTGGACGATCCAGAGATGGTTTTCCAGGTCGTCTGAGTCTTTGAGCGGCTTCTCCGAACAACCTGATTAGGAAAAAATACAAATTATGTAAACAAGAAAGCAAATACTAATTGATTAGAGAGATTAATTAAAAACCAGATTAAATAATCAAACTTCTTAATCATCTGCTTAATCTTCGTTCCTGAAAACGATATTCTAGCAAATTCACGAACACAAAAATCACAGTCCGATTTCTTGCCAAAATACAGCCAAACAGCAGATTAAGAACAACATTAATTAAGCAAATTGTCGATTTGTTTGTGTAAATGCAATCGGATTATGCAGAAACTCAGTCAAACAGAGTGCAAAAAAATTGGAAGAAAAACAGAGAGAGAGAGAGAGAGAGAGAGAGAGAGAGAGAGAAGCTCAGGTTGAACTGAGATTCATCTCACTGTGAAGAGAAAAATTGAAGAAAACCGAGATCACAGTAAGAGGAGAGCAGATTCAAGTAAAATGATGAGAAAAATGGAACTCGGAAATCACAGTTGGAATTCAGAGTTCAAAAGGCCACTCGGATCGGATTATGCACGAATTCAAAACTACAGTTGGAATTGAGCTCAGGTTATGCACAAATTCAACCAAACAGAAACTAAGAATTGAAAAACTGGAAGAGAAACAGAGAGAGAAGCTCACAAATCACAACAAAATCAACCAAACAGCACCTAAAAATTCAAAAAATTGATCACAAAGAGAGAGAGAGAGAGAGAGAGAGAGAGAGAGAGAGAGATCACCTTGAGATTCATCTGACGACGAAGAGCAGCAAGCGCCATGATCCTGATCTTACGAGCTCGAATCTCATCCGTTGAGATATCGCTGGTAGTGATCAACGAAGTGCAGGACTTGATGGAATCGCCAGAAACCGAGCTTCCTCTGCAACTCTCGATCTTGCTTCGCTCCCGTTCGTCGTCCAAACAGAACCTGCAAGTTCAAGCAAATGAATCAGAAGATATTAAAACGATCGAAACACAGAAACGCACAGATTAAAGCGAAGCGAATTGAAAGCGTGGATTACTTCGGAGGTGTGGCGGTGAGGAGAAGCAGAGCGGAAGCAACTATGCGTTCAGTTGGAGACGGAAACGGAGCCATAGCCATAGCCACTGCTTCTCTCCCTCTAGCTCTGAAAACTGGCGGTTCTTCGCCTATATTTGAAAGTTTCTCTCTCTAAAACCTTTTCCGTCTCTCTCTAAACCGTTTAAGATAGTCACGTGGAGAGGAGATTGCCTTGGGTAATGAGCCTGCGGGCCTCGGAGTTTGTTAAAGAGCCAGCTGGCTACCTGACCTGTTTGACTGGGGCAAATTTTCATTGGGCCTGGTAACTAGGAATTGCGATGATTGCATAACCCGACCCACCGTCAGACCTGTTTATTTTTTATTTTATTTTCCAACTAGAAATTTTATTAATTTCTCTAGCTAAAGTATTTTTTCGACACCGGATTAGGAGAATCCATCCTACCTGAACGATAATAAATGGTTTAGGAGAAAAATTGCTTTGCTTCTAGAAGATCTCGAAGCACTTTCTTATAATTCAAAACGCTTTTATGTTTGGCGGAAAATATTTATAGTGATAGGTAATAGAAGCGTTTTTTAGAGAAGCACTTTGAGCTATAAGGTTGAGAGATATTTTTAGTAATGTAGAAGGTGTTTTGAAAATCTGTGAGTGTGTACTTTGCTAGATAACAAAAAAAATCGCACCTTCTATTCACCACGCAATGAATTTTGAAGAAATTAGTTTTACAAGTTAATTCAAAGAACAAAAATATAAACACGAATTTTATTGAAGAGAAAAATTTAATGGTGAGGTAAATGTAGCATACTTACAAAGTTACAAGTAGCAAAACGAATAAGGAAAATTGATCGAATATACAGATCTGCATGTAGCACTTCATGTCCAACTAGTTTAACTTCCGCCATATGGATCCCTTGGAACTCGATAAGCACTTCACATTTATTTGCAGTAGGGAGACTTCACAATCAACCACAAACTACTTTGGCAATCGTTTCTTATGGAGCGTTTGCATGAGGCACTTTATAGTTCAATGGAACTTGGTATAAATTGTTATGAATGTACTACATGAATTAGATAAAACGGCTTGAAAAATTACTAGATGCAGAACAGTTTGCTTAGGGTTGGTTTGGTATTGCTGTGCTTTGAAAAATAGCTTCGTAGTGCTTTATTAGTTCGTTGGTAGTGTTCTAGTTGTGCATTATTAACAATTGAGTCTAGGGTTAATGTTTACCGGGCAGTCAGGTTGATGTTCGAGAATATTTGTGTAAATGCTGCGTCTTGGCTGCTGTCGCAGCGTGGAAGGGAGAAAGTGAGAGAACACGGGAGGGAAGGAGAGAGAGAATTAGTGTGTTTCCTAAATGGGCAAAACTAAAATAAACAAAATTAAAAGGATAATATTAGGGATCAAAATTTTAAATCAAATTATATGTCATCAATAGGAAATAAACACGTTAATCAACATTTAAATAATAATCTAATCATCAACAACTATATCATTTGGTTTACAAAATTTGGTTTAAAAATTTAGTTTTCCTAACATTACCCGTATTAAAGAGTGCTGCTAAGAACACACCAAATCTTCTTCACAAAAAAGCCGTGACCTTTCTGTGACCTCCTTAAAAATGTGACACGTGTTTACTCACTTACTAATTTTAGTTATGTTAACTTTTATGTTATCCTAAACCTCTATTATCTCTTATCTTATCTTCTGAAATTTTAGAGAAAATAATAACAAGAAACAAACGACGTTTGGACTCTTCCAAAATATCCTCTATCGCAACTCCCTTCTCGCTTGCTTTGGCTTCCAAAATTCTCACTCTCTATATCCAAGCACTGAATCATGGAGCCAAAAATTCATGTGCAAAGAGTTGGGCACGACATAGAACAATAAAAGCTTACTCACAACAGAGCCGGTCTTAAGGGTGTGCAAAGGATGCCACCGCACAGGAAGAAGGGCCTCTGAAATTTCTTGACATTTACACATACATATACATATAAATATATTAATGTGCAAGAGAATCCCAAAGTTATCTGCCAGCGGTAGTGGTTTAGACTTCATACCTTTTCACCTAGGAGCGGGGATCGATTCCCTATGGTTTTGCTTTGAAATTTCGAACTTTTGCATATTATAAAATTAAGCAGACAAATTTACACAAAAACATATGGCGGAAATTTGCATCCATCCGACTTGTTTTTTGCATTAACGAAAGTATTTTAGTCTGACAAAAAAAAAATTATTATAAAGAGATGTGGGATTAAGCCAAATCGTTCTTGATCATACGATAAATAGTGTGAGAAATACTCCATCGATCCAATGGATACCATAAAATTGCAGAGCTGCAATGGAGAACAACCAACTACAACTCCAGAACGTGATCCAGTTCATATAAACAAATAAACAAATAATACAATAGAAGAAGAAAGAAGACAGAGACCCCCCGTCCCCACCACCAAACTGCGAGAGAGGGTGAGAGAGAGAGAGAGAGAGAGAGAGAGAGAAAGCGGTTGTATTCAATCAAGACGTGAAATTTAAGAAACTCTCTCTCTTCTCTGACTACCACACCTGTCGCCTGTCGGCAGTGCAACAACTTGAGCGTGCGAGAAAGAAGGAAAGCAATCACTCACCAACTTGCTGAAATCACACGCAGCCGGCAGCTCAGCTCTCAACATCTTGTTGCTGTACAGAAGCAGCACTGCGGGTGGATGTTTGTCGGTGCATCTCAATCTGTCGATACAGCGTCCGAGTCAAGGCATTTCTGACTGAGCTCAATCTGTCGATACAGAAAAATCTGGGGCGTTTGGGGGTTTTGAATTCGTTTCGATGTTTGTCCAAGAACGCAACGGACCCAAATCCCCAAAATACTCTCACTCCAACTCCAGAGCGTCGCTTTCGCTCCGAATCTCGATTTCTCCTCATGGGTTTCCGAGAATCTGTACAAAATCGTCACCGTCGTGCTTCTGATCGCCACCGTCGCCGCCCTCTTCGTCCTCCGTAACATCGGTGACACCGCCGCCTTGCTCTGCTTCGAGACCCAGGCTCAGAACCTCGAGAAGATTCGGATGCCCCAGCTCGAATCCACCGTCAAGACCATCTCCGACACGTCGTCTCCCTACGCCAGCTTCCGATCTGAGAAGTGGGTTGTCGTTTCCGTCTCCGATTACCCGTCTGACTCGCTCAAGAAGCTCGTGAAGCTCAAGGGGTGGCAGGTCCTGGCGATTGGGAACTCCAAAACGCCGTCGGATTGGAGCCTCAAAGGTGCTATCTTTCTGTCCCTTGAACAACAAGCTCAATTGGGTTTTAGGGTTTTGGAGTACTTGCCTTATGATTCTTATGTTAGGAAGAGTGTGGGATACTTGTTTGCGATCCAGCACGGGGCGAAGAAGATCTTCGACGCTGATGATCGCGGAGAGGTGATTGGTGATGATTTGGGTAAACATTTTGATGTGGAATTGATTGGTGAGGGTGCTAGGCAAGAGACTATATTGCAGTATAGCCATGAGAATCCCAACAGGACCATTGTGAACCCGTATATTCATTTCGGGCAACGCTCTGTGTGGCCGAGAGGTTTGCCATTGGAGAATGTTGGTGAGCTTGGCCATGAAGAGTTCTACACTGAGGTTTTTGGTGGAAAGCAGTTTATACAACAGGGTATATCCAATGGACTTCCTGATGTCGATTCTGTGTTTTATTTTACACGAAAATCAGGTTTGGAAGCGTTTGATATCAGGTTTGATGACCATGCCCCAAAAGTGGCATTGCCGCAGGGGACGATGGTGCCTGTTAACTCTTTCAATACAATTTACCATTCGTCGGCATTTTGGGGTTTGATGCTTCCTGTTTCTGTTAGCACAATGGCTTCTGATATATTAAGGGGTTACTGGGGGCAAAGGCTTTTGTGGGAAATAGGTGGATATGTTGTAGTTTATCCCCCAACTGTTCATCGGTATGATAGAATTCAGGCATACCCCTTTTCTGAAGAGAAGATCTTCATGTTAATGTAGGACGTTTGATCAAATTTTTGGTTTCATGGAGATCGGGTAAGCATAGGTTGTTTGAAAAGATTTTGGAGTTAAGTTTTGTCATGGCAGAAGAGGGGTTTTGGACTGAGAAGGATCTGAAGTTTACCGCTGCTTGGCTTCATGACTTAATTGCTGTAGGGTATCAGCAGCCTAGATTAATGTCATTGGAATTGGATCGGCCACGGGCAAATATTGGTCATGGGGATACAAAAGAGTTTGTCCCGCAAAAATTTCCATCAGTTCATCTTGGAGTTGAGGAAACAGGAACAGTGAACTATGAAATTGGAAATTTGATTAGATGGAGGAAGAATTTTGGGAATGTTGTGCTTATCATGTTTTGCAGTGGACCTGTGGAACGTACTGCTTTGGAATGGAGATTGCTTTATGGGCGGATATTTAAAACTGTGATCATTTTGTCTGATCTAAAGAACACCGATCTTGCTGTTGAAGAAGGAAAATTGGAGAATGTATATAAGTAAGTTGTTTTTCTCATGAATTTGAACCTCATCTTGCTTATATCACTTCTATTAGATTACATTGTTGGCTTTCAATCATGTTGAATTGTTTAGTTCCACTTCCTATATTCTTCTGGGTAGGTGGGGAGTAAGGATTAAGAAGAGAAGGGGATGCGTGGTAATCAATTGAAACTTGTTTTGATTTAGATACATTAATCCAAGGATTAGGTTAGATACATGTTTAAGTGATATACAAATTGTGGACATATGAGTTTTCTATTTTTAAAGGTTTTGATTGATTGTTGCAAGAACAACTGGGATAAACCATCTTGATATAGTTGTATTGGAATTCTCATGGTTAAGACTTGTTAGGCATAGTAGTAGATGAGAATAGGAGCTTAAATGTGCAGTTAAAAGTAAAAGTAGGGCATCTTTTGAGACATGCAATTTTATATAACCGGACGCATTTGTGTTAACATTGGAAATTTACTTGTATGAAATTATATAGTGGCATCAGTGACCTAGCTAAGTTACACGAGTTCATCATCCATGACAACTTTGCGGATTGATACCCACAGTATAGGTTTTTGTCATCAAGTAGGGGATGTCATTCTAAGCTCTGTCCATTTCTTGAAGGCGGAGTGCAGAAAGTTTCATCACTTAAAGGGGTG